GAGGAGGAAATCAGGAAAGCTATTTGGAAATTGAATGCTAATAGTACTGCTGGTGCAGATGGATATAACGATTTCTTCTTCAGACAAGCTTGGGATGTAGTTAAGATTGATGTGGTTAAGGCAGTGCAGGAGTTTTTCATGGGTATCCCCTTGCCCAAGGTTTTTGGAAGTACTTTAATCACTCTTATCCCTAAGGTGGAGGGTGCCATTACTTTGGATCAATTTAGGCCTATTTCCTTATCCACCTTTTTCAGCAAGATTTTGTCTCGAATTTTGAGTGATAGATTGAAGAAAGTTCTCCCTTCTTTGATCTCCCCAGAGCAGGCAGCTTTTCAATCAGGCAGGAGTATAAATGAGCATGTGCTTATGGTGAAAGAGATGGTGCATCTGTTGTCCTCTAATGCAAGAGGTGGGAATTGTATCATTAAGTTAGACCTATCCAAAGCTTTTGACAGGATATCCTGGAGGTATTTAGAGCATGTTTTACTTAGATTTGGATTTTCACAGAGGGTTATTAATCTTCTGTTGGGAAATTTGAGATCAACTTTCTTCTCAGTTTTGGTTAATGGTCAGCCTAAAGGTTTCTTCCCTATGAAATGTGGAGTTAAGCAGGGTGATCCACTGTCTCCTCTTCTTTTTATTTTGGCCATGGAGGGATTTACCAGGTACTTACATCATCTGCATCACACCAAAAAGTTGGCCCCTAGTCATTTGCTTTATGCAGATGACATAGTTGATTGTAGAAATCTTCTGAGATTGAAAGCTGCTCTTTCTCACTTTGGGAATGCTTCTGGTCAGGCTATAAATTTTAATAAAAGCCAGGTGATTGTCCATGATAAAATGAGACAGGAGCACAAAGCCAAGATTAGAAGCATCCTTGGCATCAGATGTCATACCAGGGAGTTCACATACCTTGGTTCTGTCATTGTTAAGGGAAAGCTCAGGAAGATCCATTGCCAAGGGTTGCTCCAGAAGTTTGAGAGGAGAATTGCAGCTTGGTATAGTAGAAAGCTAAATCAGATGGGGAGATTGATTTTGATCAAACATGTGTTGTCATCCATTCCTTTACATATTTTGGCTGTGCAAGAGATTCCCAGGTCTATTGTTAAGTGTCTTCATATGCTTATGGCTAACTTTTTCTGGGGTGCTAGAGATATGGGACACAAATACCATTGGAGGAAGTGGGAGAAGCTTTGTTTCCCTTTGCTAGAGGGGGGTCTAGGGGTGAGGGATCTTGGTAATTGTCAAAGGGCTGCTGCTATGGACTTGTGGTGGAAGGTGCAGCAAGGTGGAACTATTTGGAGCTCTTATATGCAGCAGAAATATTTTAGGGATGGCTCCTTTACAGCAAAAGTGTATGATTCAGCTACTTGGAAATCTATATGTAGAGTGCATTCTTTTATGGTTCCTAACTGCATTTCAGATCAAGGGAGAGTCATATGGTCTGATGGTGTTTATTCCTTTGGGAAGGTTTATGCTCAGTCCTTTGATCATAAACCTAAGCAACTGTCTTGCTGTTATATTTGGGATCAAAGGAATATTTACAAAGTGAGTCTTTTCCTTTGGAGGGGAGTTAATAAGCTGCTTCCTTTTCCTTGTCATTTAAGAAGCCTGCAGATCTCTATGGATGCAGCTTGTCCTTTTTGCTTGGAGGAAAATGTAGATGATCATCATATTTTGGTTAACTGTAGGGAGATCTCTGGCCTCTGGTGTACATATGCTGCAGCAGCTAAAGCTCCCATTGCAGCCAGGCCTTGGACTTTCCAACAGCAGCTTCTCAGCTGGTGGTTCTCCTCGAATAAAAACAGCTTTTTGGGCAATGTTAGGTTTGTTATTCCAGGCTTGCTTTCTTGGTCTATTTGGAAGATGTATACTGCATGTGTTTTTTCACAAGGAAGGTTCACAAGAGAGGGTGTTATGGCTGCTACAAACAAGCTTCTTCAACAATGGTTTTGGGCTAAACGTTTGGATTCCTCTTTGTTGTATAAATCTCATGTGTTTAGCTTTGGCATTTATAAATTTCCAAAACACACTTGATGTATTCGTTGATTTTGAGCATTTATTAATAAAAGTTTATTTATATTAAATATATATATGCGTGTGTGTGTGTGTGTGTATATATATATATATAGTAGGATCTTACGATCCGAGTCACGATTCTACGATGTTACGATCTTCATTATGCTTATCGATCCTACGTAGAATCTAGAGTTTGACTACCATGTTGCTGCCTATTTTAAATTATATTCCTTCATAATTTGATTAAAATTAGTTGAGCAGTGAACTTGTAATATTGACAAATAAAATGGTAATATGTTAAAAGTATATAAACTTGTGAAAAGAGAATATATTATCGGGGCAGTTCCCATGACATTGCCCGGCAATGTCATGATATGGGCGCTCCAATGCCACGTTCGTAAAATTGACAATTCCTACCCCTCCTAACCCCTCTGGTAAACCCTCCACCCCGCACCTACCCGAACACCCTCTTTTGATTTACGTTGTTTGGCACAAGATGTTTTCAATGTAATTTATTTGAAAATTAGGGTTGAATTAAAGATTGTTGTTATTGTTGTGTTATTTGAGAATTAATGTGAAATTAAAAAATAAAATTTAAATATTTTATAAGTACATCAAAAAAACTCTATGAAATAAGAAGAAACATAATTAACTTATTTTATCAAATCATACAAGTCCTTAACCTTCATAGTTCATAATATATGCTTGCTACCAAGACCCTTTTAAATTTCAATAACACCTCCCTCAAGACTCTGTAATATATATATATATATATATATATATATATATATATATATATATATATATATATATATATATATATATATATATATATATATATATATATATATATATATATATATATATATATATTCTGCCCCACCAACTTCTGCACTCTCCGATGGACCTTATTGACATGAACCAAGCAAGTTCCTATCTATATTACCCCTCGTTTTAAGGCCCTTCAACGTCGGACAGAAATTTGACGCACCTGTAGTTGTTACCCAATTTTGGATGTCGAGCACCCATTTGTGCATCGTGGTCCTCCTCCTATACCTCCGAATAAAGAATCCAGTACTTGAGAACATAAACGAGAAAGCCGGTGCATAAGACAGCTGCAGCAAGAACAACAATAAAATGGACCCAAAACAAGGATTCAAATGCCTTGAACATAATTGCATTCCATAACCAGAACCAGAAATGGGAAAAGCCAAGCCCTATTGTAGCACCCACAAGCACTTGGTTAGTTGTATGAAGCTTTTGTGAAATTCGTAGCCATGACTGCATAAGGAATAAAAATAACCAAATATTAAGATGTTTTCAGAAACATGATAATAAGCACACTGAGATTGTTTTTTAAATGATCATATCGTTCCGGTGGAAACAATCTAAAACGCCTTCTTAGAATAGTCCTCACTGACAGATCCTTTCCATACAAAATCAAAGATTCAGATGTGGATATGTGGCACATGTTGGATACTAATGAGGCAGAAGAGTCTGCATGTGTTGCCACATTGTGAATAACAGTGAAGAGTCTGTATATATATTTGGGTAAAAAAAACAAACAACACCAACGTTTCAAACTCACTGCACTTTGGTGCCCAACATTTGCTTTAGTACATGGAAGTGTTTTAAAAAACTTAAATTTCTGCATTTTCTTTTGTCAGATAAATACGTGGTTATAAGGAATAGTAAAAGTGTTCAGTTTTTGTATGATTAAGGGAGGTCATTCAGAAGAACATCTGAGTTGAATTTAAGTATATAACTGAAAGGTACTGAACCAAACTGATCTTAAACTTAAACTGAACTGATCTACAGTGAACTAAACTTATAAGTACCATACTGAACTGAATAGACGGCAATGTAACATCCAAACTCTTGATGTTCCACATGATTCTCCGAGCGGGGAATTTTTTGAGTGACTTGATCAAAAACCACACGCACGCACGCACACACGAGCGCACACACACACCCACACACCNCACCCACCCCCCCCCGCGCGCCCGCGCACACGCACACACGCACACACGCACACACACACGCACACACGCACAGACACATACATACACACACGCACACATATATGTGTGTGTGTGTATGTGTGTGTATGTGTATGTGTATGTGTATGTATGTATGTATGTATGTATGTATGTATGTATGTATGTATGTATGTATATAGTATATTATTATTAGTATTGAACTAACTGAACTTATAGGTACTTAACTTAACTTATATGAATTGAATGATACTTAACTAAACAAAACTGAAATTTAGTGTTATTGAACGACCCCAAAGTATAATTTTGTGCTCGCATGTTTTTGAGTGTTTCAAACAAATATTGCTTAAGAGCTTAACTAATTAGGCACAAAACAATAAAGCTATATAAAAAAATAAGCAAAAATTTATTCAGCAAGGAACCTGTTTTTTGCTTTTGAAGGTGAGAAAAAAGTGATTGTTTAAGCACTTTAAGTGAATGCCAAACACCAAAGTTCGTCAAACACTCCTTGAGTCCCTTTCGAGTACTCCGAAGGAATTTTAGGTTCACACTTCGTTATCAACACTAGTTTAGAGTGTATTTTCGGTTTTTGAACTGGTTTGTTATTTTTCTTTTTAAAAGATATTTTTAGAATAGAGGAATATAGTGAAAGCTATGAGAAAAAAATTGCTTGAATATTTCTATGTAATGAAATCTTGTTTAACAATCGATTTGATGAGTCCTAATGATGTAAGTAGATCAAACATACATAAACGTCAAACAGCTACAGGTTCAAATATGCATGGTTCTACCATTGGCTTTTTGGCAGTGCAAGTGTGAAACTCTGTTTATTTGAGTTCATGTTTGATCTATTTACATTATTATAATTCACTGAATTAAATGTCAAGCAAAATATCATGACATAAAATTATTAGCAAACATTCTACTACATTAGGACAAAAAATTTATTCCAATACCTTTCACTATGTTCACGTACACTAGAAAGTAGAAATGACTTACATTAGAAAAAAAACTAGCTAGTTGATATACCAAAAATACCATCTCAACTATTTTGATAATGAAGTGTGAACCAAAATTCCATTGAGTAAACATAATAGAAGGTAAGGTACCAAAATCACACCAAAACAAAGGCTGGGCTCCAATGTGCAATAATGTTAAAGTGTTGGGATGCTTAGCATAAAAACCATCATAGGAAGGGCATACAATGTAAAATTAAACCTGTCATAGAGTCCATATTGTGAACTTACAAAATAACAACTAAGTGCATAGACAAGCCCACCAAGTGCTGCTGTGAGTCCATTCATTCCAAAGGACTCTATCACTGCATTCAAAAACACGAAAGCAAATTTAAGTTTAAGAAATTGTAGAAACAAAAAGACAGTAAAAAGATATGACAATCAATCATATATGAAGTTTTTCATGTCATGTAGTTTTGGTTTCTATAATCTTGTAGCTTAGTAGTCCTCTAAATCAAAAGATCTTGAGTTCAAAACTCAACCACCTCTTTCTTAAGGCTAGCCTGGCACACCAATTGAAGTAATTAAGGTGTTGCCATTGTGACTTTGACGTCAAGGGTGCAAGTCCAAGAAGAAAAAAATGCAATATAGGACCCTTCCCCAGACGCATTAAATGGGGAGGCACTGTGCACTGGGCTTCCCTTTTAATGTGCGGGTTGTGTTTCATTATTAGGTATGAGATGCAAAAACATAATTGTTGTATTTTCCTGTATAAATTCATATGTCACATATCAAGGCATCAAGAATGGTGGCGCGGGGTTTAAATTTGAGATCAAAGCTACAAATATGCTTGTATATACATCATCATCATTCTCATAAAGAAGTTGGCAAGAGAAAGTAAGCTACCTGTGATAATAGTATATGTGACAATGTAGAAGATTGACTGTGCATGAGATGACGGCATTCCAGGATCCGATCTTGAGGTGGGAACTGGCCGTCTCTGGTTCAATAGTCTCTTCAGGATGTGTGATAGTAGAGAATTGAGAACAGAACCTATGGAAGCCCAAAGTGCTTGAGCATCATGTTTCCAGAGCACAGTTATACCAAAAAGCACAGCAAAAAGCCACTTACTCTGCATTCCAAGTGCAATACTTCTATATAAGCTGTAATTTGTAATTATTCTTTTCATAGTACCAACAATTGTGGAGGAATTGTTTCAATAAAAAATTGTGAAGGATTCATTCAAAGTAAAAGGCCAAATAGCTCAAATGCCCCTTTTGGTTTGGAAAATTGGCACCAATACTCGTTTTCGAAACTTATTTCTAAAGTTCTCGTGGTTTCAAAACGTTGCACCCACACCCCCTCCGATCATTTTCCGGCAAAGAGATGTAATTGGTGCCTATTTTCTAAATCATGAGGGACACACGTGCTCATTTCTTATTTTTCATTTATTACTTTATTTTTTTTCTTTCTTTTAACTTTTTTTATCTCTTTATTTCCCTCTCCAAGAAAAGTTTTTTAAATTTTTTATAATTTTTTAAAATTCAAAATTCTCTGTGTTTGAAATAAAAATAAAAAATAATTAACATATACTCCATCTATTTCAAATTAAAAATTTAAAATTTTTTATTTTCTAGAATAATGCATTTGGTAAGTTCTAAAAGAAAATCAAAAATAAAATAAATAAGATAAAAAAATGAAAAACAAAATGAAAAAAATTGAAACATCTAAAAAAAAGTCTTAGACAAAAAGGAATTTTTAGAACGCCTAAAAACGTCCTTAAAATTGCGATGTTCAACAAGTATATTCATTTTAATTTTTTGTTCTATTTTATTTCTTATTTTTTTCCTCATTCTTTGAAGTTCTAAAAATAATTTTTTAATTTTCTATTTTAGAAAATAAAAAATTAAAATTGTTAATTTAAGACGTACAGATGCAATATATGTTATATTTTTCAAACAAAAATAATTTTAAATTTTACGAACATTATAAAAACAATTTTAAAAAGAAATTTAAAAAACTTAGATTAATAAAAGAATAAAAAAAAAGAAAAAACAAAAATAAAGGAAAAATAAGAAATGAGCATCAGTGCCCCTTATGGTTTGAAAAACAGGCACCAATGCCCCCTTTTTTACCGGAAAAAATGACCAGAAAATGATTCGAGGGGGTATGGGTGCAACGTTTTGAAACCACGGGGACTTGAGAAATAAATTTTGAAAACAGGGGAGTATTAGTGCTTATTTTCCAAATCACGGGGGGTACTGATGCTATTTGGCCCAAAGGTAAAACCATGAAAATCCAGGCATGAGATGCTGAAAATAGATGTAAATAATAAAGATGATGAATTTCCAGCAACAACCATGCTAACCCCGACATTTTTTGATTCCGTGAATACAATGACATATATTTTAGTTTTGGAAAACCAAAAGAATAGCATGCAATCTAAAGACGATAGCTACAGGTATCCTAATATCATTAATAAGAAGACAAAACAAATCATTTCTAATGGGGACATAGTAGCATTATTAGCTTCAAAATCAAGAACTTTCAACCATTCCATGCTAAAACGCATCACTCAAGGTGGACTAATGAGCTATGCGGGTTAGTAGAATAACATTCAAAGTACGTGTTGTTCAATAAGGATTACAAATATGGATTGTAATTTGTAACTGTGGCATGATAGAGAACTCTCCTAGCTTGAATGGTAGGAAGCCCACTGACCATGATTCATGGGGAAGTTTACACTAGTAACAGGTTCGAGCCCCAACAGAGGTGGAGGCATTGTCTCTTTGCAGGTTGAGAAAAGTATGAACAGATACAACGTTATAATTGAGTCAATAGCGCTCAAAAATATTCATTTTAATTCCTGCTTTCTTTTTTTAAAAATTTTTAGTGCTGATAAACAAGAAGTAAAAGTGAATAATTAGTCAATCTATTTACCTAATATGCTAAGCCTGCTATTGAAGAAGTATATTGCCACAAACAAATCAACAAATCCATACACCTATTATGTCAAAATGAGCAGTTTACTGACCCCAAGCACAAAAAAATAAAGAAATAAATAAATAAATAAAAACTCCAAACTAAACTAACAAAATTTACCAACCAGGTTATTCAGAGTGGCTCCAAGTCCTAAACCTGATGCAACTATGGGCCCATTGACCATAGGTTCTTGTTCGAGCGACGCAAGCGGAACCTCCTGATCCTCGTCATCAGCTTCGATTCGAGGCGCAACTGGGCCGGTCATGGTGGTGGACTTCAGGGCTCTTCCAGCCCAGCGAACTGATTGGCGGGGAAGGAAAACGGTTCTCAAGGCGGGAATCTGGGTCGAACATCGGAATCCGGTGTAGGAAAATTCTGAAACTGGTCGGATAAGAACAGCCGATATTGCTGACATGGAGAAAAAATGAAAATAAATTTGTGTACCTCCAAAAAAAGTGACCATTAAATATATAAATGGACCATGCTAGGGTGCACCATATGGGTGCTACCATAGGTGCACCCATGGTTCGCACAGACAAACACAGACGATAATTGTCTGTGACGCACAGATAATTATCGTCAGTGTTTGTCTGTGCGAAGCATGGGTGCACCCATGGTAGCACCCATGTGGTGGCACCCTAGCATTTTCCTATATAAATATCACTGGAAGTCAATCCCTATATATATATATATATATATATAACTCAAGTTCGGGGTAAATTTTTTATTCTCTTTTTGGAATTTTTAGTATTTTTATTGTTTAATTTTCATTTGTTTAGCTTAGTTTTATTTTAATTCCTATTATTACAAACCTTTTATTTCCATTCAAAAATAGTTGTTTTTAATCATTATTTTACATGTTATTATTTTAATATTTTTATTTTTCCTAATCCAAGTTACCAAATATCCTATTTGTTTTAGAATAAATTGCATTATAAGACCAAATTGAAGCACAAGTTTGAAAAGAGAAGATTGAGTTTGGACCAGAGCCCAAACCGATCATCAACAACTGAATTAAACAAAGATAAACCCAAGTCTCCTTCCCCCTAGGGGTGGGCACGGATCGGGACGGTCCGGATTTAGTTTGTTCCACGTCTTGTTCCGTTATTTATAAACGGTCCGAAACGGTTCGGATTACAATCTTATCCCGGTTTGTCCCATAAAATTCAGGGTCGGAACAAACCGGGACGGATTCGGATCGTCCCACTTTGTCCTAATCCCGAATATAAGAAGGGATACTTAATCCAAAAGTCACAAAAAATGTCATAAATAAAAGTCATTAACTCCCAAAGACATCCAAAAACTAGTTGTATACACCAACTAATTAGCCACTGTCCACTGGATTTTTACAGAATTGTGTATTAAAACTTTAAAAGTGAATTAGCTTAATAATGGAACGGAATTGGGCTCTGGAGTCTGGACTTTGGAGTTAAGACCAAATAAATTTAGTAAATTTTGGGTTGAAACTTGAAGTTAACTTAATTAGTTAAAGAATGAGTGTATAGAATTGGAATTATATATTAATAGAGTAGATAAAACGGAACAAACGGGACGGATCGGTATAAATTTAAGTTGTCCCACTCATGTCCCATTTGATAATAGGACGGAACGGGTTCAGGATAAAAAAAAATAGTGTCCCAATTATTCGGTACAATTACAAAATGGATTCAGGATTTTTTGGATTGATCCAAGGGAACGGATTTCATGCCCACCCCTACTTCCCCCAATTCAAACTCACGCAAGAAGAAAAAAATGCTTCCTACGATTGAAGCTAGCGCAAGACCAGGAGAGGAGCAGTGACCTATTCAAATCGACAGTAACGCCTCTCCTTCAACGTTCGGCCATGAATTGCTCTCCAAATCAAGTCAACAACGGCTCCTTGTTCTCTCTATTCACTCAAAACGCTCCAACGAAAAAAAATTCCTCCCGTCTATAAATTGGACAAGGAATAGCAGCAGAGAGGAGCAGGGAAACAAACCAGAGAGATCCGAACTACACATACTTAGTATATTTAAGTATGTGTTTTATGTTTATAAGTTATACTCCCTCTGTCCCTCAATTTATGTCCATTTTCCTTTTGGCACAAAAACCAATGCATAGGCTGAAAAGTCACAAATGCCCTTTGTTTTGGGTCTCCTTCACCACCAACAAACTTACTCAATCCAACTGGTCACCGTGCAACCATAATAATGACCACCGCCATATTTGCCACCATGTCTCCCTCAACCTAGCCGTGGATACACAACCCCCTCCCCATTGGATCGGAACACACATCCCCCCTCCCAACCACGGAGTATTTTCCAGCCAACCGCTGCAACACAACCACCCCAAATTCCAACCCCGAATTCCAAATAGCACTGTACAAGCCCTCTCTTTCGGCCCAGTCGCCACCGCACATCACAACTCCCGCTGGCCCTCAGTCGTGCATTTCACTGTTGCACAACTCATCCCACTGCCACCAAGATATAGTTGCAAGAAGACCAAAGAAGATTTACATAAGCAGATGGTCGAAGGAGGAGGAGAAGAAGACAAAGTGGTGCAGCTCAACAGAGAAAGATTAGATCTGGATAAGATGCACTAAATTGGTGATGATTTGGGTGGATGTAAATATATGACTATTCTGTATATGGCTAAGAAAGAAAATAAAGGGTGTACAGACGTGTAACACCCTAATCTGTCCAGGTCTACAGCCCCTTTCAGATTAAAGTATTAACTTGGTAATCGTAAAAATTAAAAACATTTCAAACACTTTTATTTATCACAATAATATTTTCATAATATAAACAGTACGGAGTTTTCAATATTGCGGAAGCTTAACAATCATAATCACAAACATAATTTATTTATGTTCTTTAATTCAAAACCATCACATCCATTCCGACAATCTCGCCTCCATTTGCCTCCAGGATCACGTCACTTCATTAACCTGCGTGTAGCAAATAAAACATACTACACGCTCAGCGTTGAAGCTGAGTAAGCATATCTAATGCATCGAACATCCATATAAACTGAATCTAAATTCATAATCAAATCATTTGATATCATGCACATAATGTTCAGTTCAGATAATCAATCATTATTAAAAATTATTCATCATGCATTATTCAACATTTATATTCACATTCAATGTTCATCAGTCATTCATAATAATTGCAATATTCAATTCAATATTCATCATTCAATATTTACTCATATTCAATATTCAATATTCAATATTCAACATTCAACAATATCCTTAAACTATTCTTAGTCTAAGCCAATCACTTTAATATTTGTCAACCCTTAAACGAATTCTAGTTTAAATAATTAAACTATATTCCAGTATAAAATATTCCTAAATAATCCTTAAGCTAGGCCTAGTTTAAGATAAAAGGGTTTTGAAAATCTTAAACTTACCTTCACTTAAGGCCAACCAAAAACCGACAGCGTAGTGTTCACTGTTGGGTGGGTGGTACCCCCAAACGAGTAGGTACTCAAGTTTGGTTCTTGGATCCCGTACGTACGTTTTAACCCTAGCCACCGGGGTTCATACCCGCAAGGCCTAACTTAAATAGGTATATCTTAGAGGTCTTCTAGATACCTTTCAAATCAACATTAATATGGGTATATCTTA